ACCGGGAATGCCCTTATTAAAATATTTAAAATCTCACAACGTATACATACCTTAGCTATTTGACCAGTGATGTTTAAAAAAAATAACAGAATCAATATAACGTCAACTTTCCTTTTTTGAATGGAGACAGACCGGCGGAATCAATTTTCAATGTGCTTTATATCTTGTACCTTTGAAAGACTTATCATTCATTCATAAACCCACTCTATACCAGATACATATATGTCAGTCTTAACTGACAAGAATACACCTCAAGCGGACAAGCAGTATATTCTTTAAATTTCTGTGATTTGATACGAAGAAAGAAAAAAATCCCGAAATTAATTTGATACTTTGATACTCCATATTTTTCCTGGAAAATAGTCACATCCTCGTTTGGTCTGAAAATAAGATAAGAATTTGGTATACAGAACATGCAGATGTGTGAATGTCATAAAACCTTGTTATCAGAAACCAATGTGAACCTGTATACGTAAGACCTCATGGGACGTCACCTAACCACATACAGGTAATATACAAGTAGCTCTGTTATACCCGGAAATGTCAAGGTAAATCACTACCGATACAGAATGTACCAATGCAAAGAATATTCTGATGATTGTGAAGCGTGACCATTCATGATTTTAGAGGAGTCTTAGGTGGAAATTGCCGGTACGATTTAAATTCTGACTAGATTTTTTTCTCTCAATTTAAATCTCTGAACTAAAAAAAAAGAAACCTACGTCCAAGATCAGAATTATTCATGTAAATTCATAAATACAACGTTCTTATTTTGTAACTTTCAATATACTTTACCTCCAACCACCGCCCCCCTCCCAACCTGGGAACAGTATATCTAACATTACAATGTTTGTGTACCTGCCCAAATAAAAAAAAAAAAAAAAGAAGAAAAAAGAAAGAGATGAACGGTAAGTCACATCAGATTCAAATATTTATATGGTTGATTGTTGTTAACTAGAGATGTATAAATACATGTCTCTGCGTTAACTTATAAGAATGACAGGAAAGTATATACTTGAAATAGATTTATGATGAATAATATGCAACTGCGGCACCTCTTTTTGTCAAAGTGTACATGCATGTATTTTAATGACTGCCCGTTATTTCGATTAAGAATGACAATTGTACGTGAAATTCTATAGTTGCCAGTGAGACTTTCTTTTACCAGATATGCGACTTTTCGTATTTATATTTTCTCTCATATTACTCTCATTTAATATTTTATGCATAAGTGCAATATTTGGGAATAGTTTATTCCCCCCACAAGCCTACTAAATAAATTAATCAACCATCTAGCTAATCAGACGTTAATACAAATACTATCAGTCTATCCGGAGTGAAGTTTCTTTATTTCTTCAAATAGATTTTTTTTGGGGATCATTAGTTTACGTCAAGTGGCATATATATTACATGCATGTCGGAACAGGAAAGTTAGCATAATGTACTTTTAGAACCATGTTCACATCATTATACATTATACTCATCAATTGTGGTGATGACGAATTTCTTTAACTGTTCGAGAACAATCTAAATGAAATATAAATCTGTTATTTTACTATGTCCATAATTTCGATGAACCAAAGCAAGTAAGATATCAACCTGTATTTAAATCAAATTGGTTCTGGATGTTTCTCTGTTATATTCAAAAACATGTATATATTTTTAATTGCGACTATCTATAGTTCCGTAACTTTCTATCTAGGCGTATTAACCAATGATCGACACGTGCGTACATTTTTGTTAAATCAATATTTGTATGTTTCAAAATGTCCATCATTATTGACAACGAGTATATACTTATATTTCCACAATTTACCCTTGGAAAAATTTTATCAAATCTTTTTTTGGAATTATTTAGATTTTCATAAATATCATTCTTTACACCAGAAATGTTATTTATAAACAAGCGTATGTGTTTAGTAATGACTAGTATATCACTATCGGACACGCAAGACAAAGATGTATATTACACCTGATAGTTTCAAAATGGAAAGTTACAAGTTATCGGCCGTGTACACTGATCAATACCCTTAGAAATGAAGGGATGCATGAACTTGCTTTATGTAATTGTGTAATAAGAGTTTTTAAGCCTGACAGGAAATCGCATGAATACCTGGACGTGTCACCTCACAATACCTCTGGGAATAATTCCTTTAGCCATGCTGGTGATCAGATAAGGGAAGGTCTGAATTTATTTAAATAATTAGATATAAGAAAATGTGGTATGAGTGCTAATGAGACAACTCTCCATCCAAGTCACAAATTGTCAATTTATAAAAGTAAACCATTATAGGTCAAAGTACGGTCTTCAACACTTGGTTTATTACATAAAAGTTTATTACATAAAAGAATTATGAACAAATTAGATTTTCGAAAACAATTATACACGGGACACTTATTTATGACTTTGAACTTTGACTTTTTAACTAATTCCCATATAAATTTCTTGTTTCAAAACTTAGTAAAAACAAGGATTTGTATAGTAACAAATACAAATCCTTGGTAAAAAAACCAAGTTTAAATACGACAGACCATAGTTATTTAAAAAAAATAATTACATTTTCCGTATCATGTTAGTTAGGAAAGGTTGCACAACCATGTCTATTATAATCATTTTGTTACCCGGGAAACTGTTTATGCTTTTCTTGTCGGATAAAATAACTGTACGCTTGACAAGATATCGACACGCAATTACGACTACGTTAGGTTACTGCTGGTTTTGGTCCTTTGTGGTTTATAGATATATCGTGGTTTCTAAACCGAGAAGATGCCAAAATGGCCTCATGCAGAGAATTGATACTCTAAATTTAAAATCGATGGTGATCTCTTATATAGCAGAATAAAACTTTAATATTTATGAATTTGTGCTTTTTTATACAGAATGAACATAATATCAATTTTTCATTTTTTTGCGAAGTTTCCCTTTAATGTTGATATTAAACACTTTTTAAGGAGTCTAAAATGTTAGAAAATTATTTTTTATGACTCAAGCTGAATGTTAGTATGCTTATATAAGGGCAAAAGAAAGACAACTCCAGCGTTGCAAATGGGAATTCAAGATAACAGATGGTGTTGTCTCCCTTCAATCAGTGGTGTTGTGTACAAAATGGCGGTCATTCACCTTCGTGACCGTCGGACGATTTTCAATCATATTTTTGAAAAAACAACTCGAAAAAAATTTACTTTGTGACGAATCTTTTCAGACGGTACGTAGGCTCATTCTAGTAAACATCCATGGGTTAAAATAGGGAAATTATTGCCCAAACGCAAACGAAATTGAATGGACAATTTTCACTGACAAAACTTACGTTGAGAGATAGATAAAACCATTTCGGTGTACAAATATAACATAAACTTCAGAGCGACGGTGTTTCAAGATTCAATAAGTCATTATAAAGACTACGAATGTCAATTTTTTAGACTAAATTCCCATCCGTTCCAGAGAAATGAGCGATCAAACATACGATAGTCATTTTGGCGCGGCACCTGTCAAATTAATTCCGGTCAGGCAATCGTCTCGTGATAATTTATTTCGGCTTAAAAATTCCGCGAAAAATAATAATTCAGGAGTGAAAGTGTTAACCAATCATAATTGTAAAAGTTCCATATGTAAGATAGACCACATTCATTAAAAATGTTGGAAATATGATTGAGCCAGGGAGACCTTAAAGTGGTATCACTTTCTGATTTCAGCAATAGATTCAGTCTTCACGATAAACTTTTAAATGATAAAAATCTACAAGCCCGAAGCTGAATTTTACGAAAATTTTAGTAAAAATTCTATTGGCTTGTAGAGATGATTTTTACAGGCCCGACAGCATTTTTACAAGCCTGAGGGCTGGTGGGCCTGTAGTTGAGCGCGAAGACTGTTAAGATTATACAAAATGTAGCATCCAATCAGGGTTTGAAATTAGCAGGGGCCCGCTCGCCAATGGATCTTAAAATTTGGTGTGGGCTACTAAAATTTCTGCTTTTCTTGTATAGAACTATATATATTGGCTACAAGATTTAAGATGTGGACTACCATGCCAAAATTTTAACTTCAATCTCTACCAATATGCTATCATTCTGATTTTGATATCAATATCTAATAAGAGGGTATCGACTGTGTTCCCCATTTATAACATAGCTAGGTGAAGTGGATTTTAAATGGAGGAGTTTACAAAATTTTAAATAAACTTTTTCATGGATGTCATTGTTTTCATATCCCCATAATTCACAGCCAGTTTAACAAGTTTGTCAAAAAGATCAAGTTGCCAGCTAATAGAAAGATTATATTTTCTTCCTTTTTCGTATCACATCGTACGTTGCGTTACATGTAGTAACCTTTCCGGCCAAATGAATTTTACCCTTTTTATTTAGACTTATAAGTTAAAACTTCGACTGTGAAATAATTACTCGAAATTGTTAAGGTGGTACAGAACCAAACACCTTGACTAAAATTAATTTGGCTTGGTTAAATTTCATAAAATTTTGACAAAATATTTACTTTGACCCTTTGTCAAAAATAAAAAAAAATTAAAAAAAAACTTGAACCACTCACTTTATCGGAAAAATTTAATTGGATATATAGCAGTTTGACAAACACTAATTTGGATAATTGAGAAGCTTAAAAATATATTTCCTTAACAATAGAACGTGATTAAAACGTTCAGCTGATTTTTACAGAGTTATCTCCCTGTAGTGTTACATTGTATGTACCACCTTAACTTCCGTTTTTTATGTGAAATTAACAGACTAAAGGCAATAATAAAACCGATCACAAAAAATTTATAACGATTAAAAAAAAATGGTATTGTCATGCATAATTAACCATTTAGCACCGATCCCTACACACACAAAATTTATAACCGTCGAGATTGACACCGATTTGTAGAGAAACAACCATTTATCACAATTATACTCTTCAAAATTATTTATTATTAATAAGCTATTTTGCAAACCTTCTTTATTATTTTACTTTCAATGAAGAACAATAATAAAAAAAACATTATACTCACGTTTTTTAGAATTAATTTCCCATTGGCGTTCATACATTTCTGCAGCTACAACAATGAAAATATTATATCTAAGAACTGGTTGTTAATCTCATTTAAATTGGGCCTGAAAGGTCAACTAGACATTATGGACCATAAAAAATATAGATAAATATAAAATTATTATCTTCTTTTTTTTACACAAACAATTGAACACTGAAAGTAATGTTGTGTTCTTTAAAAAAAATCATAGATGTTGTGCCTTTGCTAAACCAGTCTGTCTCGACCATGTGTCGTCCGTTGTCTTTCTGTGTGGCATCTCTTACAAAGAAAATCACTCTTTGACTTGTAGAAGTATGAAAACGAATATAACATTTGAAGCGTGAGAAAACAGGGATTCTATACTAGTCAACAAAAGAAACAATACAAGGCAATGTATTTTCCATATATAATGAAATTGGATACACTGTACCAAGGTAAATAATTGCCCAATTAGTCTAATATTTACAGAGTGTTATTTTCTTATCAAAACCATTGATTTAAGGCAAATACGCGAATTTTTTTTATTGCAATTTTTGTTATTTCAAAATTCGTACTTTCAACCAAAAATTCAAAAATCCATATTAGAACTTAAAACTTTATACATAAACATGTTCTGCTTAAAATTTTGAATGCCTTTGCAGATATTTAAATACTAAGTTCTCATCTTCGAAATTAAGTGCCGACTTTTGTCATCATTTTCCGTAAAATAAATTTAACCCCTGTGTTTAATAACACGGTATTTTCTCACTTTCCAATTTGGTCAGATTTTTTTAATCATACGCATTTGCTTTGCAAATGAATGTTTTACATTGGATAATTTAACAGTTTTTCCTATTTATTATATTTTATGATAAATTTGAGTTCAAACTTGTGTATCGTTACTTTTGTTCACTTGTATAGTTATAAAAACAAGATGCTCTCAAGAGCCTGAATCGCTCAACTGTAATTTTTTGCTTAAATCTTTCATCAATGATTATTTTTGCTTTTCAATATATATTAATGAATGGCATAAAACTTCCATTGAATTGTTCTTTGTATAGATCTGTCATATTTTCTTCAAAATCAAAGAAATGCATTTTTCCCCTATGTTTCATTTTATCCAGAGTGGCTATGTCTCTTGACGTACAAGAAAATAAAATACAAAATTTATACTAGATACTCTGAAACTCATTCAGCCCAAGTTTGGCTGAAATTGATTCAGCAGTTTCAAAGGAGAAGATTTTTTAAAGTAAGCAATCTAAATGAACAAATTGTGAAAAACTGATTTAAAGGGCAATAACTTCTTAAGGGGACAATTGACAATTTTGGTCATACGAACTTATTTGTAGATCTTAATTTGCTGAACATTTTTGCTGTTTACAGTCTATCTTTATCATTAATAATATTCAAGATAATAACCAAAATCTGCAAAATTTCCTTAAAATTACCAATTAAGTGGCAGCAATCCAACAATGGGTTGTTAGATTCATCTGAAAATTTCAGGGCTGACAGAGCTTGGCCTTATAAACATTTTTACTACCATCAGATTAGCTCTAAATGCTTTGCTTTTTGAGATATAAGCCAAAAATTGCATTTTACCCCTACGATCTATTTTTAGCCATGGCGGCCATGTTTTTTTTACGAAACAGAAAATAAAACACAAACTTTATTTTAGATACCCTTAGAATCATTCAGCTTTAGTTTGGTTGGAATTGGTTCAGTTTCAGAGAAGAAGGTTTTTTAAAGTTAGAAAAAATTAACAAATTTTGTAAAATTGTCCTTAAAGGGCAATAACTCCTTAAGGGGTCAATTGACAATTTTGATCATATGAACTTATTTGTAGATCTTACCTTGCTGAACATTTTTGCTGTTCACAGTTTATCTTTTATCAATATTCAAGATAATAACCAAAAACTGCAAAATTTCCTTAAAATTACCAATTTAGTGGAAGCAACACAACAATGGGTTATCAGATTCAACTGAAAATCTCAGGGCTGATAGAACTTCACCTAATAAACACTTTAATCTCGTCAGATTTGCTCTAAATGCTTTGGTTTTTGAGATATAAGCCAAAAACTGCATTTTACCTTAATGTTTTATTTTTAGCAATGGCGGCCATGTTATTTGACGAAACAGTAAATAAAACACAAACTTTTTTTAAGATACCCTAAGCATCATTCAGCTTAAGTTTGGTTGGAATTGGTTCAGTAGTTTCAGAGGAGAAGATGTTTGAAATAGTTTACACCAGACGGACGACGACAGACGACGACGGACGCCAAGTGATGGCAAAAGCTCACCGTTCCTTCGGAACGGTGAGCTAAAAAACCTAAAAAAAAACCTGAAGAAATGTACAATAGATTTTTCTAGAAACAGAAGTTTAATATAAATGCGTACTAAGCCTCTTTCTTCTATGTATAGATTTGACTTCCACAATAAGTGCCATACACATCATGACGAGAAGTGTAACCATAGCAGCACGTGTCATGATGATTCACTGTCTCTGGTCCTGTCTTGATAATATTGTCTGAAAAATAGAGGATAAACGTTTCAAAATTATACAATACATGTAGTCGTCCGCTGATTTTTTGGGTGAGTAAATAAAAAAGAACTGTTAATTTTCAGTGTTTAGATTAATATAAGGTAGCATAAGTGTTTGCAATCATATGTGAGTAAACCTCTATGGAAAAGGGGTTTGTGATCTTGCTCGCAGTACTACTAAAGGTTCGTTCATATTCAGAAACACAACATGAACCGTGTAAGAGATAACAAGGCCACACTTAAAAAAATTTAGGTTTGCCCAAACCCTACCCAAAGTTGAGACAGTGGGTAGGTAGGTAGGCATTTTCTTTTTTCTTTTTTTTTTGGCAAAGAGAAATTTAAGTATCAGATGTTTATTTGTCTTCATGCCTATCTGAATAAAAAAAAATATTTTCATATCAGGGCAATAAAAGATTTTGAGTAGGCAGCTATATTCTGGGTAGGTAGGGTTTGGGCAAACAAACCTATTCTTTTTTATGGCCCAAAATGTATTGAAAAACACAACATATTTTTGATTCCTGTATATGTTCCAAAAACTAGGGACACCTATTGTTTTATCAATTTTATGTTTGACCTTAAATTTTCCGTGCCAAATAATTTCTTAACAAGCTTCAACATATTTTTCGGATTTCCTCTAATTTGTAATTTAAGTACAGTAAATAGGGAATGTCACAGTATTTGTAAAATTTTACGAACAATTTTAATTCGTTGAACTTTGACTGGAAATAGAATACAATGATGCATTTATCTCTTATTTACCGAAATATTATTGAATTAATTCTTTCAAAAATAGGTGAACCTTTTTATACAGTCTTAGGTCAAAAGTGTTTCACGTATCCCATAGTCCCCTATTAATTCATATAAATACGCTTTTGTTTTAGAACATTGCCAAAAACTAATTTGAAGTCCATTGAATTTTTATTAAATTTTAAAAGATAAACTCACAGATATGAACAGTTTTTTGTATGGTTATTGTGAAATATTTGCACGACTTTTCATTACTGTGCAATCTTTATTTGTTTATAATAAAAATATTGAAATTAACGTTTTCTGTGCCACGGGCCGATTTTAGGCCGATTTGTAAATACTACGTTGACTGCCACGGGCCGATTTTCGGCCGATGTTTTTTTCCTTACGTCGAACAAGAGGCTTCAGTGACGTTGCCTCTTTTGTGAACTATGGGAGTGGCTACACAGACGAAGAACTGTGCCGTAACAAAACGTAACGTTATGCATGCAAAGTGCTTTCAAATTTTCATTTTAGTTGCGTCGGCCATACTTTTATAGAGTATATATATAAATTATTTCAATTTCTTTTCATTTTATGGACTTTCTGCTTATTTTTCTGTTTTGTTTTATATAAAAAAAAATCATATATTAAAGAAATTGAGAAGTTTCACTTATTAATGATAGCAGTCGAAATGTTTAATTACTGAAACCAATTTTGTTGCACTGTATGTGCACATTTCATCAAATAATGAATCTTCAGTAGTGGTCCAGATCCTAATTATGGAATTATCAAACAAATAAGAAGCCTAAACATGTTCGAAGAGCGATTTCAAATACCAGAATGACCGAAAAATCAATTAAAAATACCATCTAGGGAAAAGTAAAGTTGAGTATTTAAAGTGCTTGGTGTGGTGGGTTGTCTTATGTCCTCACTTCTCCATTTTAAAACGATACTTACAATAAAATCGTTTTTTTTTATCAGAAACAAATAATATATTTTTAATCAAGATTCAACACACTAATGATTATATTTACAATCCCGGCGCACCCCCTTACTGCATACTCGACACACTGTCCTACTCCTCCTTTGACCCCCGTAACCATTCCTGTCTGAACAAACATCACAGTCTTTCTCTCGATGACCGAGGCAACTTCCTTATTCCATTTTTATTCATTTTTGTTTTAATTGTCTTGATTTTCGTTTCTTTGCATCATGTGGTCTTTGGCGAGATCCTCAATAAGCTGTTGCGTGAAAGCTAATCTTGACAGTTTAATGTTATCCGATTTATTTTATTGGTATAATGTGTATGCATTGATAACCATACGGTGCATAAGATTAAAAAACTACCCTTTTCCATACTTTTAAAGTTTTTCGTCCATCATTATAACTCTCTGTCATCATATCCATAGGTACTTGGGGACAGGACAATTTTTTTTGGCCCTCTCCCTTTTTTCCAAAATCCATTATTTTATCGTTTTCTATTAATTTCAATTATTTTCGCGTTTTTTTTTCTGTATTATAAGAACATAAAATGATAAATATACTATAAATAACTTGTATTTGCTATTTACTATCAATTCCGTGTTTACTATCCACAGCTGTTACTGATGTATATATTTTTTGGAAAATAGGGGAAGGTAAAAAAAAAACTCGTCCTGTCCCCAAGCACATGTACCTATGATCATATCAGCCAAATCTATGACTGCTTTATAAGTGCTTGAAATGAGTCCAAAAATTTACACAATGTTACTGGGGTCATCAACATCAACAAAAATTTCTAAAAAAATCAATTTGTCAACACAAAAATGAAAAAGAATGTGTCCACACTACACCGATGCCCCACTCGCACTATAATTTTCTATGTCCAGTGGACCGTGAAATGGTGTCAAAACTCTAATTTGACATTAGAATTAAAAAGATCTATCATTTGGAACATGTGTACTAAGTTCCAAGTTGATTGCACTTCAACTTCATCAAAAACTACATTGACCAAAAACTTTAACCTTAAGCGGGACAGACGGACAAACGAACGGACGCACAGACCGGAACACACAATGCCCCTATAGGTGGGGCATACATTTTTGCAAAAACGAAAGTCGCGTGAATCTTTTCACCTAAAAACAATGAAAAATTAGTACGATGTTAAAATTTTGATCTTATTTTTTCTGTAATGACCAATTTGAAAATAACTTACTTTTGATTTTTGACTATTGTTTGGTTGAAATCCATATTGTCGCCACAAAAACGAAAATTTCTCTTAAACCCGGGGATTCATTTTAAGATTATATTTTATAAAAAATTGCTATGTATGGAAAGAAGTGGTGCTTCATTTGTGTTGTTCGGTGTATATAGGAAAAAATCTGTTTTTCTCCAATAGCGAGAAAAGAAGGACAGTGAATGCAAGTTTTCTTTTAGAATATCAAAGTAAATATGATATATAGTGTTCTTTTTATGCAGTCATAAAAAACTATATTTATTGGGTTTTTAATCGCAGGAAAATGTCGAATTTTCTCTGTTAAATTAATGTAAAGTTTACCATAATTTAAACCCAATCACTGCCAATTATATATAACATACGAACGAAAGGATACATGTGCATTTTAAATCGAATTTCTAAATTGCATCCATCTTTACATTTTCTCTTTCAAAAAATAAAAAAAAATATATCTGCTGTAAAAAAAAAAAATACGAATACGGTGTTTAGTTCTCTTGATTTTGCCGCTTTTATTTTTCACAATTAAAATTTTATGGAAACTTTTTTTGCAACACGATTCGAAGATACTAGTTTTTGATTTGGTAAATTTCTTTATAATACAACCCCATAACTCAGAATTGTAATATCTAAAATTTATAAAAAAAAAAAAGAAAGGGAGCTCTCGTCAATAGATATTAACAATTCACCAAAGTTTTATGCAAATTGGTTAAAGCGTTTTTGAGGTACTATATCCGATATGTTGACGACTGACGGACGGACGGACAACGGCATACCATAATACGCCCCGTAAACGGGCGTATAAAAATACATTCCTAGATTATCAAATAATCAAATAATCATGAAATATTTGGTCTGGTTATCAAATAATCACTAAAAAACGCCCAAGTAATCACATAATCAAAAACCCCTTGAGGAAGCTCAACTATCAACTGTTTGTTTGAGCGCTGTGGAACCATCTCTTCGAATTTAAAAAGAAATAAAAAAGTTAAAACCTATGCCCCTGAGATTGTTAATAAAATTATTACCGAAAAAGTACAATTTACTTCTACGTATACGAAATTGCCGTTCAAATGCAATCACTGAAAGACGTCGTACCCTTTTACGCAAAATCTTATGACGCGACGTTATTGTTATCGTCATTGACGGCAAATTTTCTTGTGTACTTTAGAAAAAAACAAGCTTGGCAGTAAAAGGAAAACTGCGAAATATTCCCTGGCACTGAAAGAGTTAACCCTTTGAGCGCCGAGACCAGTTGGAAAGCAGGTCACGGTTTGACCCCAAGTCTATCAGCAACAATAGAGTCACGTGACCGTGAAAATTCAGTAAAACTACGGATGAGACAATCCTCACTTTTACTCACTAAAATACCACTGTCATGGTAAAAACTTATTGATCAAAATAATCTTGAATATACATAGTTTTAACTCGTCAAAACTTACACATCAACTCAAAGTCCTTTATTCTTTATTTTATCTTCAAACTTGAAGTTTGTGTGAAAATTGTCAAGGCTCCTGATCGAAAAATCTAAATATTTTCGAGGAAACTAAAAATGATGGGCTGAATTTAAATTTAGTAAAGCATCTCATTAAGACAAACACTCGATATGAATATCTAGGCAATACAGTTTTGGATACGCAAACGTCAAGTTATGTTCAACACGAAGCGGTGGTTTTTTTGCCGATTTGTGCAAGTAGTTATCTCCCCTTGATATCACCAGTCAAAAATAAAAACCCACCAAAATGAATAAAAAGGGAGTTTATTTTACAAAAATCAAGAAGAAAATAAATGAAAGTCGATTAACAACTATGTTATTATAATATTAAGAAGAGATACTTCCCTACTTTTCAGAGAAGGATTACAGGTAAAAATTAAAAGAAAAAAAAAAATGGTAAAAATTAGATCTAGAAACCTAGCTGAATTGATATAAATTAGCTCTGGCTGATAAAATTTACTTTCAGTTTGTAATTTTTATAATGGGATATGGAATCACTCCTAATGGATTTTTAACTACTTCTAACAATGTTTAATGCAATGAAACATAC